ACGTTTGGCTCAGTTGGTAGTGACCCTACTCGCTGTTCCAGCAGTCGCGGTTTCGAGTCCCGCTGGAAGCATTCATTTGTGTGATGAGCACGGATGTTTGTGCTCCAGTCATGGGTGTTTATATTTATAATATGTATGTATTTAAAGTTATATATGTGTAGTGTATCAACTATCTGGTATCCATAACACAAGCCTCGTAGCTTACCATGGAACTAGATGGGGCTGTGTGTTAATGTCCCAATATTTATTTATTATTATTATTATATTACAGTTATATTATAGTCACAAGTAGAACTAATAAAAACTTCTTATTAAATCCACTTTCTTTACAATATACTCTGTATATTTACATATATTCTATCAATGGTCTTTAAGACGAACCTGCAACATTTTAACAAGCAGATTAAAATTATAAAAAGTTATGATAAATTCATGTAAATTTTTATTATTTCTAAAATTAATAATAAATAAATATGTTAAGACATTAACACACAGCACTATCTAATTCCATGGTAAGCTTGCATTATTGCGTTACAAATTTAGCCAAACGTGTAGTAAAAAAATTCTGTTTCCAAAATACCTTCTATACAGATAAATAAAATTGAAGTGTCTGTTTGTAATATCAAAATAACAGGGTTTTACTAAATGCATATGAAATTATAGACGGTACTTATAAGAAAAACACGAGTCGCTAGTTAGTTATATTTTCTTTATGTTTATATAACAAAATTTTAGTAAAATCTGTAGGACTATCCCGATCTGATTAGGCCATACTTAAGCTCAAGTGAACCGTAAGTAGACCGCCCTAGGTTTACCCAGTGTTTTCTATCTTGAATAGAATGAATTAGTCGAGCTTAAGAAGCTAATGAGTTAACAAACTTACCCTAAAATCGGGTTTTTTCTAGCAAAAATAAAACACTTTTAAAATCCGTAATGAGAACCTGCTGGCGATACAAATATATATATATATATATATATATATATATATATATATATATATATATATATATATATATATATATATATATATATATATAATATTTGTTTTGAATTGTTGATCTTATAATGTAACTGTCCTTTTTTAATATAATTTTGTTATTATTTGTTTCCCAAAGCTACCTTTATATATTATTTAATTTAGAGACATTAGATGTTGACTTTTTATTTTGAATTCTTAATCACATGACGTGCTTATTTTATGATTATAATATACATTATAGTATGTTACATATATAAACTCAAAATATATTATAAAACGTTTTCTTTAAAAGAAAATTGATAACATATTCTGCAAAGCATACTAATTCGAAGACTTCCGCTATACCATTGATGATGACAAAGAGAGACAATAGCATTCCCAAGGAGGGTTGAAGTCAGGCAGGCGGCCGGTCATAAAACTTTTGCCAAATCCTTTGTGCAGTACAGAAGATGTACTGCGCCGACCCCAAGTGATTGGGAAATGGGCAGGGAGAAAATTCTACAAAGCATACACTAGTGTTGATTTGATTGATACATTTAGTGTGTCTGGAAATAAACCTTACTGAACAAACCTAGTAAAAGACACAATGTTATAACAACCGTTCGTTAATTCTTTATTTTAATTGGACCTTATCCCTTAATCCTTTTTGGACCTGTATGGACTTCTAGCCAGTACAGCTAGCTTATATTCAGATTAAACAGTCCTGCTTTCGAGATTGAAATCGGTCCAAAAAGTGACGTGAGAGTGTTCAGTAAAAAAAAATCTTAGTAGCTTGAAATGGCTAATTTGTGTTTTTTGTGTGGTGGGTAATTTAGTATAGTATCAGAAACATAGTAAACGTTATAGTAGCACTAAATCTCTGAGGATCTATACAATATAAATCATCGGGCTATACAATATATATTCAGGTATTGTATGGAGGTCAATCTTATCTTGTCGCTAAACTATAAGCGTGAAACTAAATATGTAGTTCGTGCTCCTGTGATTGCTCACACTCGTGTATTATAATACAGGTGCTCTAGTATAGAAATAGAGGCTTCCATATCCTTTGTATTGACACCAGCCTAAAATACGGTATATCAGCTTAATATTATAGTTTGTTTTGTATATATTAATATTTTTTACCCGACTGCGCGACGTAAAGGACGGTAATGTGCTTATCAATCTATATATTATGTATGTATGTATGTATGTATGTATGTATGTATGTATGTATGTATGTATGTGGCGTTCTACAGACCAAACGCGTAAGCCGATTTTGATGGTCCTTACATTTTATCACATCACATTTTATTATTTACTGCCAGTAAATTATACCAGCAATTGTAAGTACATTCTATGAGAATATCATGACAAATATTTGTGCAATTCTTTGTGTATTGTGTTTAGCTCTTTTAAACGTCTCGCTGCTGGTCACGGCCTGAGCCTCAATAACGAATGATGAAACGTGTAAGTCTCTGACTGCATAATAATATTTATTCCTTCGTCAACTTGTTTTCAACTTTTTAGTTAGCTTTTATGCAGTCGGGTTTATAATTTTTATAATTGTCTATGTTTTTGAGCAACAAATTATATTTTAGCGCACATGGCTATCTCAATGAAATTGGGCAACGTAACCGAGATTCGGTTTAGAAGATTTATTATTATTTATTATTATTATTATTTATATATTTACTTTTTATATTTACTTCAGTAGTAGCCTAGTGTAACGCGCTCGCTTGAGAAACCGAGTGAAGCAGGTTCAAATCCCGGGTCTTGCACCTCTGATATTTTCATGTGTGAATCATTTCTAACATCACAACTTGCCTTACGGTGAAAGAAAACATCGTGAGGAAACCCGCATGTCGAGAGAATCTAGCAAGTTTTCGAAAGACATGTGAAGTCCGCCAACCCGCTCTTGGCCAGCGTGGTGGACTATGGCCTGATTTCCCTCGTACTGAAGGGAGGCCCGTGCTCAGCAGTGGGACTTTAAAAAGGGCTGAATACAAATATATTTACTTCATATTTCAGAATCTCAAGAAGAAACTACTCTTGAATCTCTACGATTGAAGCTACCTAATTGCGATGTCCAAGATTGTAGCGCACGTTGTCGTCACCTCAAATTTCCGGGAGGTATATGTGTTAACGATAGATGCAAATGCAACATTGATTGATATGATTAATTTCAAATATAAATGATTGAAATAATAAAATTATACAATATATACAAAGTTCTATTATTTACACCATTTAGTATACATAATAGACAGTTTACATAATAGAAATATAAAGGGCCCCAATTTACATTTAAATAGTATAAAATAATTTGCTCAAGTTGATTTTTCTGTGCTAATCTTTAGATAATGTAATATCTCAAATACAAAAATAATTTTAAAACTAGCTAAGAGAGGTGAGGAGAAGTTTCAAAGAATAAGACAGGCCAATTCTTATGCTCTATAATATTGTGCTATAAAAATAAAATTAAAATGTTTAAGACACCCTCCCTCATCCGATACAAAAAAAACCCTCTAAAAAGTAAAAAAATAACATTTCTTTCTTAGCCTTTCAAATTCAATAAATATTATTCTATTAATATTTTGATGATGACCGTCGCCGCGTGTGGAGACCGCTAATACTTAATCATTATCAATCTTCTTTTTATTTGTATTATGGTTTTTATTTTATTTACGCACAAACACACAGGCACATAAACAGACACGTAAAATTTATAACATCTCTTTTTTTGTGTCGGCGGTTAATAATACTTATTACTTACATGAAAATAATCAATTCTCGTAATACTTTCTTAGATTTACGCGAATATTTGACATTTTAAATAAAACTATCTTTTCGGATTTTGTCGCGGATTTATTTGTATTTTTGTTTCCCGACGTTTCGAATGCTTTACAGCATCCATGGTCACGGGAGAGACTGAGGTGTTACATGTCTTAAAGATATAGTTGTTACAGACAGCCTACCCACAATTAACAAAATGAAAATTGCACCAATTACATTACAATATTTTAACTTTAAATATTTTTATAATTTTAATTATAATTGAATATGGAAAATTATTTATTTAATTTTTGCTATTATTTTTATAATTATTACAATTTTAAAATATTAATTAGTAATCTATATTTAGTGTTGCCATTATTATATTTATAACCATAAGAAAAATGTAAAATATGGTATTAATTATTTAAGCCACAATTGATCTATGTGTAATTTGAAAAAGTTAAGATTAATTAAAAATAAGAATTTTAATTTAAATTTGCTATTATTTAAAAAACAAATTATTAAGCAACACATTACTACATACATTTACACACAAGTCAGTAAGTTCTTACTGTGTAGATCAAAATGATAGCATTTCTGATTAATAATATTTTTTCTTATGGTTATAAATATAATAATGGCAACACTAAATATAGATTACTAATTAATATTTTAAAATTGTAATAATTATAAAAATAATAGCAAAAATTAAATAAATAATTTTCCATATTCAATTATAATTAAAATTATAAAAATATTTAAAGTTAAAATATTGTAATGTAATTGGTGCAATTTTCATTTTGTTAATTGTGGGTAGGCTGTCTGTAACAACTATATCTTTAAGACATGTAACACCTCAGTCTCTCCCGTGACCATGGATGCTGTAAAGCATTCGAAACGTCGGGAAACAAAAATACAAATAAATCCGCGACAAAATCCGAAAAGATAGTTTTATTTAAAATATCAATTCTCGTGTTTACAATCCTATAATAAAGGATAAAATTATTTTAAAACTTGTTAGATAAAAAGGTGGTAATGGTGCCTATAAATATCGAATAAAATTACGATTACTTGAACTGGTATCAAGATAAATGAACCAATACAACACGGTAGTGTCACAGGAAGGTCATCATAATAAACACAATATTACTCTTACTTACATATATAAGCAAACTAATAATGTTAAACAGTCAGTCTTCTTTGGACAGTGATAAGAAACATCTTCACTAAAATGAAATGGTTTTTACTTATTTTTGCCGTGATTATGGAAATTTTGTCATTTACATCAGCAGCTTTACCAGTTGGTATTATTGAATTATTTTTGTCAAATTCTATATTTTGAAAGTAAAAAAAATATGTATAAATATTATTATCAGAAGGGTTTTATTTGCTTGGAAACCAAAATAAAGCAGGATCATACTCCGGGCTTAATAGTTTTCAAATATTTTATTAATTCGCACATGACAAAATCCGAGCTTTAAGACCCGGGATTTGAACCCACTTCACTTGGTTTCTCAAATGAGCAAGTTACCACTGGACTACCACTGACTTATGCATTGCCTCAAACGAATGAATGAAACAATGTTAAAAAATTAAATCTACATGTATACATATAATAAAGATGTAACTGATCGCTGTCTGTACATGAAAGATATTAAAGTAAAATTATTATTAGGGGTCTTTATTAACGCAATAGAACCCAAGCAATGATTTTTAGAATTTTTGTCTGTTTGTCTGTGCGTTTGTGCGCGCTAATCTCAGAAACGGCTTACCAGATTTGGGCGTGTTTTTCATTAATTTGTTATGGTAAGCATTACTTAACACGTAGTATTAGTTTTATTTCAATCGGTTCATAAATAAAAAAGTTACGTCAATTTAAAGAATCACCCAAGGACAAACCCGAGCAAAACGAGAGTGAGTTGCTAGTATATATGTAAATATACAAGTAAATATATATACAAAAAGTGTTCTAACAAAATATTATACATTTTAGAAGGCGGACTTCTTAAAAGGGTGCGTCGGGAAACATGTGAGACTCCTGATGACTATCGAGATTGCGATCAGTTCTGTCGACACCTTGGTCTGTCTGGAGGAGCTTGTGTTAGGAAAAGGTGTGACTGTGATAAATTCTAGTATATTATTTAATACAATAAAGGTTAAAAAAATTAAAAATTTGAAGTAAAATATGACTTTATAGCGTCATTTCTTTTATTAATTTTTACCTAAATTTACAATTACTAGTATTTATAATATGATATCAATATACTCTACTCTGGCTGGGCATTAAATCTGCTTATTTATTAATCTTTTAATAATAAATATTTCTCTAAGTATACATAAACAAATCTTTTATTCTCCTTAACCAATAAGATATTCTAAATATCAATAAATAAAACTTAATAATAATGTAAACTCTATATAAACTTATTAATATATAAATCAGAAATTTATAATATTTTTTTTATTTACTAAGAGAGACTAATTCCGCCTCATATTACACTCAACATTACTCTCGGCGTAAATATGACTCGCATATCTTAATAAATTGTGTTACAATGAACTCTTGCTCTTCTAAATTTCCATGTATAATTAAGATAAGAATTATAATTTTTAATTTCATTTTATTCGAAATTTATATTATATAACTATTTTTTTTCAACGTGCATTATCTTTAAATTTCCTTAAAACCTATAATATTATACGTTCTAGGTCTATATTTCCTAAAATATCTGCTATAACTATATATATATATATATATATATATATATATATATATATATATATATATATATATATATATACTATTAGAAATAAGTAAACAGATGGAAAAAGTAACGATAGTAAACGGATAAACAAACGGACTATACGAAATCCTATCAACAACCTCTTTGGCTACCCATTGAGTTAAGTCTCTTCTAAATAATAATAATAATAACAAGAGAACATAAGACTGACTGCGCCACCTTTTGGCATTTTTTACTACTAATATTAATAGTACCTTATGTGCTTTTTTTTTTCGTTGTCGCTGGGGAAACCCATCATGGGGACCCTGCCGCCGTCATGGGCAGGGTACTGTGAGCCTCCTACTCACTAAAACCCACAGCGGAACCCTTCGCCGCAGTGCAATGGGGCGTGCAGGATCGCTATCGCACTCACTGCAACACCCCTGACCTTATGTGCTACTCCAACTATAGTCTATCTGTGTTTTTCTTCCAAAATCTTACAGCAATTACAGCGTGAAGTAACAAACATATATGTATATATGTATACAAACTTGAGCATATATAACAGTAGTGTTAGGTATATTATAATCTAAGAAGATAAATAACGTTATATTCATCGAAATTTACCTACTAAAATATACTTTTTGAAGCTTGACATACCGTATAAAGTTACAAAGGAAATAAGAGGAAAATATATTAAATTCAGAGATCAAATGAACACGTTTATCCTCGGGAGCGTGACGTTCGCGATAGTGCCGCTTGTCACGGCGCTCACGAATCATGTGCGAATACCAAACCACATATAAGTTTATTACATTGTTATATTCGGAAAAACATTTTTATTTAGCTTTGTAACACATGTACTATGCTTTATAATATCAACTATCTAACACTATCTCAGATTTTCTTACTTAAAAAATAATTTTCTGTATGACGTGTAAATTGTATATAGAATTACACTCAATGTAAGACTGAAGCACTGGCTCATCAACTAGATGGCTAAAATTTTTATTTTATTTTTTATCCGTTTCATTAATAACAAAGAAATCACCCTTATTTACAAATAAAGTTTTTTTTATATATTTACTTCAGAAGAAAAGATTATCAAAATGTATAGGATATTGCACTACAGCAAAATTTATGAAATATATGTAATTTCATTAATAATTTGATACCTTTTACGATTTTCAGGAAGTATTAAAATACAAAAAAATACGCTCGTAAATAAATGACAAGTTTATTACAATGATATATTGTAATTAAACATAATAACTTTTCTATTTCATTAAATCGAAGTCTTAAAATTCTTCGGTATGATTATTACTAACATTCATAGATTACATAAATTTTTAAGAAAAATCTAAGTCAGAAACTATTTACGTATAATTTAATACACAAAAAAAAATTACTTAATTAATCATTTTTAACGTTCATTTCCTATTATTTATATAAATTTTACAGCGAAGCTTTGTTTATAAATTATATATAATAAACGATTAATAAACACAGCAGTTATTACAAGTTAGCAAAATACGTAATAAAATTATAAAAAAGGTCGAAGAGTAATTTCCCGAACACAGAGGAAATCTCCGTCGAGCGTGACGTGTGTGATTATATCGCCCGTCACGCCGCCTGCGAATCATGTGCGAACTTGTGAACCGAGAGTCATATTTAGTATACGAATTACATTAGTTTTATTTGAACTTAATTTTGTATTAAAACTTACATTATTAATTAATTCATTATCTTCTTATATTTCTTTGCTATAAATATGTATAACTAGCGATTCACTCTGACTTCGCTCGGGTTCGTCCCTAAGTGATTCTTTAAACTAACATAATTTTTTTTATTTATGAACCGATTGAAATAAAGCAAACACTGAATGTTAAGTGAAGTTTAGCACAATACATTAATGAAAACCACATCCAAATCAACAAATTAAATCAAAAGATATTATTTTATTCTCAAATTATAAGTTTGAAAATTAAAAAAATATCTTTGACTTTGATTATAAATTCGTCGAGAAGTTAAGTATGAAAATGTTCATTTTGTAATTATATAACCTTTAAGTCATCGATACAGATATCGAAAATGCATTTTTTAGAAGTTTTTGTCAATTTTCATTTTTCAAGTTCAGCAGATCTGAAATCTACATATATAGCGAGTACATTATTTACCCACCGGTTTTAATCTATACTAATACTATATAGAGGTAAAGTTTGTTTGCTTGTTTGAACGGGCTAATCTCATCTACTAATCCGATTTGAAAAATTATTTTTGCAATAGATAGCCCGTTTATCGAGGAAGGCTATAGACTATATACATATATATTATACACACGTATTCAATATATAGTATATCTATTTCATACTAACTGGGAAAACGTACCTAAGAACGAACCCAAGGGAAGTGTGGGTGAGTAGCTAGTATATTATATTGATGTATTATTTATGATTTGTTAATATAATATGTATATCATATAACAGTTTGGCACTAATTTATTAGTTGATGATGATGATGATGTTCTCCTAGCCGATTCCGGCCACGGCGGCCAATCTCAATGAGATTAGCCAACTGCGCAGGAGATATTATAGTGCTCAAGTGTACGCGCAGACACAAGTGCACTCTCTATTCCTATCACTCTCATACTCCGGTGGGACGACCACTCGACACGACCGGTGAGAGTTAAGGCGCAGGACCGACGGCTTTACGTGCTCTCCGAGGCACGGGGGTGAAACACCGCCAACTTCCCAACTCTGGGCTGCTACTGAGACTTACTAAACAGGAAGACTCAATAACTAAACTTGGCCCGACCCGGGACTCGAACCCGGGACCTCCGGGTGCGCAGCCATACATGCTAGCCACTACACCACCGAGGCAGTGATATTGATATAATAAGTGATAAAAGTTTTATAAAAACAATTGGTTTTGTGTCACATTAGTTTATTTCATAAGGATAAAAAACCCAAGAAAGTGTCTCTTCCTATCATGACCTACAGATTTGTTGCGTTGTACTATGATAAGAATTAATTTCTTAAGTACTGCCTTATAGTATATACTAATAGTACGTATATTATTTATAATTAAATATTATGTAAAGAAAGTAAACCCACACACATAATAAAATGAAAAATAAGTAATATTAAACAAAAAACAATAAATTTTAATTGATGCCGCTTAAAAATAACATGAAAAAATTAGGTAAATTGGATAGCAAAACAATAACTCTTCTGAAATATTTTTTGCACACAGTATATTAATTAAAAAGAAATTATTATATTGTGATTTTAAGCTTCATTTATTTAATTTCAGTGGAATATGTCGATGTTCGTCGTGTCTGTTATATTTAAATTATGATGTCATAGTTATTATTCTAATATATTTAAACGAGCAATTCTTGTATATTTAATTTTTTATTTATTTATGCCGGTGATCTCGGAAACGGTTCTCCAATGATTTCGCTGTGGTTTGTGGGGGTTTTTGGGGTCGAAAAATCTATCTAGATCAGTCTTGTCTGGTAAAAAGGAGTTTTCGAGTTTTCATGCGGTTGTCATGTGGCAAATATCACGTATATGTGTTTTCATGTGGTAAATATCATGGTCTAGTGGCCAAGGTGCAAGATTAACAGTCACAGGTATCTATCTGAGTTCGAGTCCCGGTCGGATACAAAGTTTTGTTTTTTTTTTTTGTATTTATTCAAGTTTTTATTTATTTATTTTTTTTGTTTTGAAGCCAAATTAAAAAGTAAATTGTAAGTTTTCCCGAAAACTCCGAGGGAAACTCCTGTCGCCCAGGTATTAATAATTAAAAATCAACGTATAAAGTGCATTGATATTTAATAACGTTTCACGATTTTAACTGTTTACTTTGGAAATAAGAAAGCAGCGTCGAAACCAGTCTTGTATGAGATGTATGATGCGAATCTCATTTCTAACACAGGCATGTCTAAGAGTAGTTTATGATAGAAGTTTGAAATCCACCAACCGGTTTGGTCAGAGTGACTGACTGAGAACAGAAATATACTCTAAAAGGGTCGATATTCAGAAGAAGCCTGAGTATATCTGTATAGTAAATTTTGTTTAAATCCGTCTAGCAGTCTCAGCATCAATGAGTAACAAGCATACACATACATACAAACTTATATTTATAATAGCAGGATGATTTACGTAAATATAAAAAAAATATTTTTTTCCAAGAAAACATTCAAAATATTTCAAGCAATAATTTCCATATTTCTACATTAATATATTCTCAGTTATATTTTTAATGTACGTCTTACAATTTTACAAATCAATCTATTTTTCAACCTCAACAATCAAAAGTGCGTGACGCGTGTAATTGTATCGCCTATCACGCCGCCCGCAAAATCATGTGTGAACTCCGAGGCACCTGATGTGAATAACTGGATTCGTTACATTGAGTGAAGTACATAGAATGACAAGTATTTCTTTCATTTACTTATCTTTTTCAGAATATTATTCTAAAATAAATACGCACCAGATATTGTGAGTTGTAATTTTAATGTTTCTTATTTATTTGAATTATTTAAATCATATGGAAAATATATTACGGCTTCTCTTTGGAAAACCGTGTTTCGTGAACCAAAAAACAGCACCTATCATAATATTGTGTTGCTTTCAATTTGTAGTCTAAGTACTGAAAATAAATCAATGAATATGTATAAAATTCGTATTCAAAATAACATTGTAAAATACTTCAAGTAATAACTTGTCAGAATTGTGATACTACAGAGTAAAAGGAATAGAGAGTGCACTTTTTTACAATACTTTTGCACTATAATATACAAAAATTTTTTTGCGACTAGTCTAGATTGCTAGATGGATCTCTGCGAGAAGCCTCCACGGCTATAGATATTAATAATGTATCTTAGGTATGTACGTAGGCTTAGAATATGAAGACCATACTGTTTATTTTTCTATAATTTAAGAGTCATGACTTATGGCGAGTGTGTGCTATGGCGAGCATCAGCACAACGGATGCCGAATTGGTTAAGAAGTGTTGGAAGTTACCACCATGACCATGCATGAACGCCATACGGTCGCTGGCACAACATAATTATTCTATAAGCTCAAGCAGATATATATCTGTTTATACTGTCTATATATTCACATATCACTATGAACACATACTCTACTCTTAAATAAAAGAAGTTCTTAGTGACAAGCTCTTCCAATTCGCGAGTATTTACCATTTTATCGAAACGTCAATCAATCTAACATACGTTGAAATTGGCACTTTTACCGTGGATCGTGTCTCATTTCTTTTGGTAATATTACATTCTCTCTAGGCGTGCGTCTCACTTGGCTGAATAAAGTATTTATGTGTTTATAATAAAGCAAGCGACATTCTAGGAACGTATGTCACCGCAATATTAGATGGAATAACGACAAGTTGTAGGGAATGACGAATTCTTAAGCAATATAACATTTTCTACGTAACTGAATATATTGCAAGTTGTACTGAAAATATATGAAACGTCTTGCTGTAAATAAAGTTTGCACTAAACACCGTTAGATCAAAGTGTACGATTAAAATTATATTTTTTTCATATTTTGCACCGCCTGTGACAAAACATCTAACTTATTTAGGAACATCAAAGAGGCGTCTCCTTTCAATTTGACCCAAAAATTTCCTTTTACCAAAACATGAATAGGCTACGAGAGTCTGAATTAAAAATATTTACATAATTTAAGCGACACAGGTGTAGCAGGCGCCTTCTAAAAGGGTAAAAAAGGCTCCACCTCATCTCGTAGGCTATTTTACTGAAAATTGAGTCAAGATGAGAATAATTTTTTGTCGCTTCCGTCTATATGGATTTTTAATAATATGTTATTAAAGAAGTGTGTCTTCTTTATTTATCAAAAGGAAAATGAAAATAATATGTTAGTCAATAGAATTTCCATTTCTAATATTAATGTAATAATAAGATAATGTTTTTTACTTTCCCTAGTTGGGAAAAAAGGTTTGTTATTTTAAACTCAAATAGAATAATTCAGTTACTAACAAATTATGTGACTCAACGGTATTAGGATATACCAGGAATACAAACAGGCAAATATATATATATATATATGTATATATATATATATATATATATATGAATATTTGCTCCAAACAGTACACCAACCCACGGCGGTGCCATGAAGACACTGATTTTTACGCTAATGAAATATTTTTTAAGAATTTTCTCAAACACTTTTCTTCATCATCAGTTCCTTTTACTCAACTATTCATATGGAGAAGCCTATAGATAGTTGATTAAAGGGGTGTGCCGCAGCGCAGGTCGTCGCACCACCATCTAGCAGAAGAGCGCCCTAAACTGCGTTTTCCTAGATGTGGTATCAACTCGAGAACCTGCTTTCTCCAACAATTATCAGTTCTTCTGCAGATATGGCTGAATCTCTGCCACATTAGATTCCTAATTTTCTGACCAGCTTCGATGACACCGAACTTCGGCCAAATAAATTCATTTCTCACTATATTTTTAAGAAAACCGTTCCGTACATGAAACTTTTCACAGGACGCTGTTTGACTTTTAGTCAGTGACGTGTTATGACGTGAGTATCCATCCTCAAATCTTTACATACTCACACATGTGCAGCCTTTACATTTATCCTTCTATAATGAGATATTTTCGTGCAGTAGAAAGTATCCTATATATACCCGGATAACCAGCTATTATCATACCAAATTTCATCAAAATCCCTCCAGTGGTTTTTCCGTGATGTGGTAACAGATAGACAGACAGATAGACAAAAATTCTGAAAATTATAGATTCGGAATATCGATAATAATGTCTATTTTAATAAGATTTTCCAAAAAATATTTAATGTACAGATTCGGATTAGTTACAATTTTATTATACATATTATGTATAGATTATAAGAGTTATTATGTATTTATAAATTAATTACGAATTAAATATATAAAATAATAAAACTCGTATTATATGTAGATACATACCTATATACTTATATTTCTTCATTTGGAATCCTACAGATTCAGACAGTATAACATTACAAATGTCGAGCTTCGTAGTGTTTGTGAAACAAGTTTTGACGAACATTTACCAACTGTGTTGTTCTAAACTTGTATCAGACCTTATTTGACATACGAATATCGCAAGCCTCAGACAAATGTAATTTTACAAGATAGAATATATTATAAAATACATACTTGGGATATTTTAGACACATTTGAATTATTTTTTTTTATATTTTCGATACGTACTAGTTGGAAATTGTATTGTAAAATATTAGACATAATATAGTAATCTCACTTTTCAACCGACTTCAAAAAGGAGGAGGTTCTCAATTCGACTGTATGTTTTTTTTTTTTTTTTATGTTTGTTACCTCAGAACTCCGTCATTTATTAACCTATTTGGACAATTTTTGTTTTGTTTGAAAGGGTAGACTTCCAGATTGGTCCCATTTAAATTTCAAAAAAAAATACCACCCCTAAGGGTGGAAAAACAACTAATGATGAATTTAACCTACTTCTAATTGTCATATTGACTTGAAACTTTGCAAGTGTTTCTAT